GCATTTCTATACAAACATTCACCGTGGAAGGCGCGAAAATGACAAGGGCGCGCAAGTCAGAAATCAATCGAGGGATTGTACACACGCATCCACCGTTCACAAGACAAGATGATTGAGTTCTTCGCATCTAGGGATTACCCAGGAAACTAATGGAAGAGTTCCGGAAGAAGTTCTTCCTCGCAGGAACTCACGAGAGTTCACTTCGGTTCACAAGAGAGACGAACCCACAACACATCGTCATTTAAGTCAGAGAGAGAGAGATGGGAGGGATAGACGAGAAAAAGCCGAGACAGAAGACACCAGAATTCAACAAGGGAGCATTCGGCTTCGCAGCCATGAACTCACACCATAAAAATGATCCGCAATCATGAAGGCGCATTCGCCGTAAAATTCCAATATGGCCCCAGGCCAATCATCCACCCAACTTCAATCACAGATCCTCATACCCGCACCGACGATCCCGACCGTCGCGTGCTAACTTCCACCACTGCGATCGTCACCCCGCTGACGCAGACTCGACTCGGCTCGCCTGGATCCCACAGTCCGTCGTGGCGATCAAGCGCGCAGCCGGCCGGCCTACAGTCAGCCTGACGGGACTTTCGACTCGCACCAAACGCATCACCTAGCCACTGCTTCCCGAAAGCTGGCTTGTGAGTGGAAAACGTAAGGGAGCTTTGCGGGCGCGGTTGCGGAATTTATAGTTGCGAGAAAAGAGGGGAGATCGAGGTGTAAGGGGAGAAGGTTCAGCGAAAGATGCTCAAGGGAAGCCATGTTGATCCTTCGGAACCCGATAGTCGGCCAATCAGATTCGTCGCGCAATAGGAAGATCCTCTTACTCAACGCGTCTGATTGGTGAGCCGGGGTAATCGAAGGATCAACCGGGCTTCGTGAGCCGAGGTTGAAGAGCGAGAAGAGACGAGGCGCGAAAAGCAGCGCGAGACGGGTCCAAGATTCAGATGATCAAGAAATGGAAACAGGCGCGCAAAAAGTAGAGGGGGAGAGAGGGAAAAACAGTTGCGATAGGAGAAGAAGAGGAGGGGGAAGGGGGAGAGGAGAGAGTGTGGGGGAAGAATGACGCGGGAATGAAGGAGGAGGAAGCTCGCATGCGCGGTGCTGACAACAAGAGAAAAAGGCACCAAAACAGTTACAGCTTCCCTATGCTCAAAACCAATTCAAAAATTGAATCACCATATCCACGCGCGAAAGCCGATGCGGGAAAAGAAATTCCTATGCCTATCCGTATTCTCACAAAATTCCTAAAGTTTTCTCCGACGTGACCGATAACATTCATGCAAGGAAAAAGATACGTCGGGCTCCGCTTATTCCGTAATTCCTAACCGTCGAGCCCGATTCCCAGTGCGCTCGCTGCGGCGCGCGTAATTTCCCGTGCATTTCCCGAATTACAAAAAGCTGAATTCCAAGAATCAATAGAACTTCCGAAAAAACTGGGGGCCCAAACAAGGCGCCTGAAATCAAGAAAAGCGACGAGGTTTTTGTGGGGTCGATATGATACAAAAAGGGGGTATTGAGTCAAGGGGTACGAAAGATAGCACGGGGTCGGGAAGTGGTTCGTCACATGGCAGTTGTTGTTTTGAGAATGCTCAGTTAGGTCTTCCATGCGCTCATCCACCCCATCCTTACAATGTGTGTCCTTTCTGTCGTCAAGGACAGCCTCATTCTTGAGCTTTTTCTTGCCCTTTCCTTTGCCCTCTTCCTCATTCTACACTCCGTATTTTCCCTCTTCCATTCTTTGTTTGTCCTCTCTCTGTCTCTTTTCCCTGTGTTTAACACCTTCCCCTTCACTCTGCCTCTCTCACAGC